ACTGTGTCACCCATGCTGGAGTGCAGTGGCGTGATCATGGTTCACTACAGCCTCAAACTCCTGGGCTCAAGCAGTCCTCCTGCCTCAGCCTCCCGAGTGGCTGGGATTACAGGCATGCACCGCCATGCCCAGCTGTCATTTAGAAATGTTTAGGTCTTGCTGTGCTTCCCAGGCTGATCTCAAACTCTTAGACTCAAGTCATCCTCCTGCCTTGGCCTCCCAAAACGCTGGGATTACAGGCATGAGCCACCATGCTGGCCTACTTTTTATTTTCTGATCGGATAGCTCGGATTATAATGGCTATACGTTTCCACGGTGCTACGTGAGCACTCTGTCGTGCCGTTCACTCTCCTGCGGGGATGTCTCTCCATCATGCCCCCGCAATCCCAGGTACACACGCCCCGTGCCGCCTCTCACTCCTGATGGGCTGGACCCTCCCTCTCGCCCACAGGGGAAGCTTTGGGCATCAAGTACCCAGTCCAGGTGCCCTACAAGCGGATCAAGAGTAACCCCGGCTCCGTGATCATTGAGGGGCTGCCCCCAGGAATCCCGTTCCGAAAGCCCTGCACCTTTGGCTCCCAGAACCTGGAGAGGATTCTTGCCGTGGCTGACAAGATCAAGTTCACAGTCACCAGGTGCTCAGGGGGAAGGGTGAGGGTGAAGAGGAGGCAGGACTGGCCCAGATGGGGCCTTGTACCTGCGAATCTTAGCCTTTCCCTAGGACCTGCCCTCCCCACTGTATAAGGCGGCTCTCCCAGCGCCATCCTGGGTCCTGGGTGGTCGGAGAGGGACTGCAGGCCAGCCCAGGTGCAGGGAGCCCTGCAGAAGTGGGACTGGTCAGTCCACTGTTGCAAGGGCAGCCTTTGAGGGCATCTTCACCCTAATGAGCGACACCCTCTCACTGCACCACCACCCCCAGGAAGGGCATTCAGTCCCCATCAGAGGGATTCGCCCAGGGTCCCAGGGCCAGCCAGGGCAGAGCCTGCACAAGGCCCAGGTCTGCGTTTTGCAGAGTCACACTGCCAACACCAGCGCTCCTGCCACGCTGCCTCAGTGTCCCGTGCACAATGAGCCCCAGGGCAGCTTGTTAAAATGCAGATTCTGCTGCTGGAGGTCTGGGGTGCTCCCAGGGGAGACCGAGGCCACTCCATGCCAGGGGTGTCTTCCTCATCCCCTAGGCCCTCCCCCTGACATCCCTGCCTCTGTTTCTCTTCTAGGCCTTTCCAAGGACTCATCCCAAAGCCTGGTAAGAGGCACTGGCTGTGGAGGGAGCGTTGGGAATAGGGCCTGGCCATGGTGCTGGGACACAGGTTCTAGAATCTGGGAACAGAAGCCACACCCCTGCCTTTCTTTTTTTTTTCTTTGAGATGGAGTCTCACTCTGTTGCCCAGGCTGGAGTGCAGTGGCGTGATCTCAGCTCACTGCAACCTCCACCTCTGGGGCTCAAGCAGGTCTCTGCCTCAGCCTCCCAAGCAGCTGGGATTATAGGCACCTGCCACCATACGCGACTAATTTTTGTATTTTTAGTACAGACGGGGGTTTCACCATCTTGGCCAGCCTGGTCTTGAACTCCTGACCTTGTGAGCCACCACACCGGC